AGCTGCTGTGGAAAACTGTTTGGCAATTCCTCAAAAAGTTAAATAGAATTACCATAAAATCCAGCAATTCTACTCCCAGTCATAGGATACCAAATGATTTAAAAAGCACAGTCCAGCAATACCTGTACAGTAATATTCATGATGGCATTATTCACTATTCTACCAAAAGGCAGAAACAACCCAAATGTCCACCAACTGTTAAATGGGTTAACAAAATGTGGGATATGCATCCAAGAGAACACATTCAATCTTGGAAAGAAATGAAATTCTAATACATGCTATAACATGAATAAACCTTGAAAAGATTAAGCTAACTGAAAAAAGCTAGTTACAAAAGGACAAATATTATAAGATTCCACCTGGCAAATTCATTGAGACAGAAAGTAGAATGGTGATTACCAAAGGGCTAAGGGGAGAGGGGTTACTGTTTAATGGGTATAGAGTTCTGTCTGAGATGATGAGAAGTTCTGGAAATGGACAGTGGTGATGCTTTGCATGTCTCTGTGAATATACGAAATCATACTGAGTTGTTTACTTTACCAACAGAGCCCCCAAAGCAATGAAGCAAAAACCAGCATGAATGAAAGCAGAAATAAATGATCCAATAACAACAGTTGGGGATATCCCAACCTGCAATCTCACACTCTCAACAACTAATACAACAATTAGAAAGAAAATATGCAAGGATACAGAAGACTTGAACAACAACACTATCAACCAACCTGATCTAAATAAAATGCACAGAATTTAGGACACCCTACAGTATCAAAATGTATAGGGTTTTTTTTGTCTTGTTTTTTCAAATGCACATGGAATATTCTCTAAAACAGACCATTGCTGTGCCCGGGGTTGGCAAATCTTTCTTGTCCACCAAATCCAGGAACATACAAAAGGGATTAAATACATGACCAAGTGGGATGCAAATATTTTAGGTTTCGTAAGTCACATACTATCTTTGTCACATATTCTTCTTCTTTAACAACTCTTTAATAATCTAAAAATCATTCTTAGATCACAGGCTACATAAAACATACATAAAACAATTCTCAATAAATTTTAAAAAGAACTGGAATCATACAAAGTATGTTCAATGCTTTGTAATCAACATGGAATCAGATTAGGAATCAACAGAAAAAATGGGGAAATCCCAAAATATATGGAAACTGATTAATGTGTTACTAAATAATCCAAGGGTCAAAGTAAAACATCACAAGGGAACTTGAAAAAAATTTTGAACTAAATAAGCATAAAAACAAAACATACCAAAATTATGGGATGCAACTAAAGGAGTGGTCTTGAACTCCTATGCTAAAAATGTAGAAACACTGAAACCAATAACCAAAGATTTCATCTTAAGAAACTATAAAAAAAAAGCAAACTAAAAGTAGAGTAAGCAGAATAAAGAAAATAATAGCAAATGAATTTGGAAATCAATGAAAAAAAGAAACCTGGTTCTTTCTAAAGATCAACAAAATTAACAATCCCTTAGCTAAACCAACCAAGACACAAAATACCAAAACCAGGAATGAAGACATCACCACTAACCCCTAAGGAAATTATAACTATTATAAAATATATTATGAAAAACTTTATGCCAACAAATTAGACAATTCAGACAAAATGGAAAAACTCCTAGCAAGACACAAATTATCAAAGCTGACTCAAGAAAAAGCAGAGACTCTGAATAGACTGATCCAACTAAGGAAATTGAATCAGTAATTAAAAATTTCCCCATAAAGAAAAGTCTAAACCCAAATAGCTTCACTGGTAAATTCTATCAAATATTTAAAAAAGAAATAATACAAATAAGCCCTTCCAAAAACACAAGGGAACACTTCCCAACTCATTCCATGAGATCATTATTACCCTGACACCAATGCTAAATAAAGACATCACAATCCCTGCCTCACGAATATACAAGCAAAAATATTCAACAAAATATCAGTAAATCTAATCTAGAAATGTATTAAAAAGAATTATACACCAAGACCACATGAGAATATCCCAGGAATAAAAGCCTGGTTTCATATCAGAAAATAAGTTCTTGTAATATACATCAAATAGAAAAAAGAAAGAAACCTCATCTGATCATCTCAACAGATGCAGAAAAAGCTTCTGACAAAATCCAACATCCACTCATGGTAAAAATTCTCAGCAAACTAGGAACAGAACTAATAGTTTATGGCTAGCCCTTCCAGAATGATGGTAAAAAGAAGTAGTGAGAACAGGCATTCTTCTCTTGTTTCCAATTATAGGGGAATAGTAATTCAGTCTTTTACCATTAAGGATGATGATAGCTATAGGTTTTTCATACATGCCCTCTAATAATGAGAGAGAGAGAGAGAAAAAAAAATTAAAGGCATCCAGATTCGATAGCAGGGAGAAAAATATGCTATTTGTCACGAACACATTCTTATATTTAGAAGATCCTACGGAATCCAGAGAGATAAGCACACACACACAAAAAAATCCCTACCAGAATTTATAAATGAATTCAGCAAGGTTGCAGGTTACAAGATTAATATAAGAAAAACCAATTGTATTTCAATATATTTAATTAAGAAGAAACCAAATTCCATTCACTTCAGAATATATCTATAAAGAGATGCTAAAGTAAAAAAATTTAACTTGAACACTGGAAGATCTAAATAAATGACAAGACATACCAAATCTATGCACTGGAAGATGATGGAAAACCTCCCCCACTGATTTAGATTCAACGTGATCTCTATCACAATCCAAGGAGGGGATTTTTGGAGAGGCAGAAATTAACTACTAAAATAATAGGCAAATGAGAAGAATGCAGAACTGCTAAACAATTTTGAAGAAGAACAAAGTTGGAGGATTAACACTTTTTGTTTTCAAAACTTACTATGAAGCTTTAGTATGTATTTTAAGACTATGAAGTACAGACATAAAAATCAATGAATAGATTGAGTCCTGTAATAAACTCTTACATTTATTCCACTGATTACGGAAAAACTAAGGCATGCTAAGGCAATTCAGTGGAGAAATGGTAGATACCATTTTCCACAAAACAGCGCTAGAACCAAATGGATGCCTACATGCACAAAGATGAATTTAGATCTCTACCATACAGAAAGCTTAACTCAAAATAAATCACAGACCTAAATGTGAAAGCTAAGGCTACAGAACTTCTATAAGACAAAACAAAATTTTCATGACTTTGGGATAGACGAAGATTTCCCAGATGCACATCAAAAACAAGAACAAGGGAAGAAAGAAGTGATAAACTAGACCCTCAAAATTTAAAACTTTCAGCTCTTTCTGCCATCGTACAGCCTACAGAGGCCTGCTGGGAACAGAACTCCTAAACTGACACATATGTCTGGAAGGCTATGGTCCAGAGACATTTTTGCTAGCTCTAAGTGAGGTCTTCTGAACTAGAAGGAGTGCACAGCTCTTCTTAAAATTGAAGGTGTTTATGCTCAAAATGAAACTGAACTCTTACGGAGGCAAGAGATGTGCTTCTGTGTACAAATCAAAGAACAACACAGTGACTCCTGATGGCAATCTGTACAAAATCAGAGTAATCTGGGGAAAAGTAACTCGTGCTCATGGAAACAGTAGCCTTGTTTGTACCAAATTCCCAAGCAACCTTCCTGCTAAAGTCATCTGCCACAGAATCCATGTGATATTGTACCCCTCAAGGATTTCAACTTACTGAATAGAAAATAAAATTGTGCCCCCCAAAAAAGGTTGAAAACTTTTGTGTTTCAAAAGACATTAAGAAAATGCATCAACAATCCAGAGTAAACAAAAACATCTGCAAATCATACATCTAATGAAGGACTTCTAACCAGAATATATAAAGAACTCTCACATCTCAAAAATAAAACAAACAACCCAATTAAAACTGGGCAAGAGATTTAAATAGGTCATGAAAAAAAAGATACACGAACAGCTAATAAGTACATAAAAAATGCTCATCATCATCACTGATTACAGAAATGATGGAAAATTAAATGCAAACTAAACAGAAGCACACATTAAAACCTCATACCCACTAAAATGGGTACATCCAAAATACTGACAGTAACAAGAATCAAGAGCATATGGAGATGGGGTGTCTGGGTGCTAAGTTGGTTAAGCATCTGCCTTCAGCTCAGGTCATGACTCCAGGGTCCTGGGATGCAGCTCAGGTGAGGACTCCAGGGTCCTGGGATGGAGCACCTCATTGGACTCCTTCTCTCTCTGCTGCTCCCCCTGCTTGTGCTTTCTCTCTCTCAAATAAATAATCTTTAAAAAATAATTAAGAGCATATGGAGAAACTGGAACCCTCATATGTTAATGGTGAGAATATAAAAACAGCACTGCTATTTTGGAGAAATTTGGCAGTTTTTCTTAAATAGGTAAATTCACCATATTGACTTAGAAATTCCAGTCTTAGGTATTTTCCCAAGAAAAATAAAAACAAAACCCATACAAAAACTTATATGCAAATGTTCCTTAGAGTAGTAGTCATACTAGCCAAAAACTAGAAATAATTCAAATGTCCACCAACTGGTGAACAGCTAAAAAAATATGGTACATCCATACAATGGAAAACAGTTCAGCAATAAAAAGGAAAAAACTACCGATACATGTTTCAACATGAAAGAACCTTGAAAACATTACGCTAAGTGAAAGAAGCCAGATGCAAACAACTATACATTATGCGATTCTACTTCCATGAAATATTTAAAAAAGGTAAATCTATATATACAGACAACAGATTAGAGGCTGTCTGGAGCTGAGGACAGGAGCAAGGATAGACTGAAAATGTGTACAAGGTTATCTTTTAAAAGGATTATGAAAATGTTCTAAAACTAGATTGTGGTGATGGTACAAAACGTTATACGTTTACTACAAGTCACTGAATCATATACATGGATAAATGTTATGGTTTATAAACAACACTTCATAAAGTTTTTTAAAAAATGGTAAGAAGTTAAAAACAAAATAGCAGTAACAACAAATTATGATGAAATTTCTCTTACCTCTGCTGGATATACTGGGCATAATCTGAGGAATCATATTATTGCTTGTATCCATTGGCTGGGAATTATCTTGACCCATTTGATCATCTGGTGGCATATAGGCAGGAGGAGGAGTATCAGCTAAGAAGAAGAATATGAGAAAAGTTAAAGTCCCAAAAGAATTATTAATACCTTCATCCTGCTTAAAAGTATTCTAAAAGCATTAAAAAGTTCCTAAGATTGGGGCGCCTGGATGGCTCAGTGGGTTAAGCCTCTGCCCTTGGCTTGGGTCATGATCTCAGGGTCCTGGGATCAAGTCCCGCATCTGGCTCTCTGCTCAGCAGGGAGCCTGCTTCCCCCTCTCTCTCTGCCTGCCTCTCTGCCTACTGTGATCTCTGTCAAATAAATAAATAAAATCTTTAAAAAAAAATTTCCTAAGATTACTAACAGGGTTTGTCACTGAACATTATAGACAAACAAAAATGTAGGATGCTACCTGAGGCAAGAGAAAAGGAGAAAAGACAGCACACCTATTAGTTACTGAAAACCTGCTAAAGGACCACATATATTCAGTTCAATCCAGGATAGTAGATCAGTGCTGAAATTCACTAAAATAGAATTCAAGGTCAAGAATTTTGTCTTTATGTGCTTAGACCCATGCTGGGAGGAACTGCAACAACTACAGACCAATCTGGAGGACGCAGATTAACCTAGTTTGAGTGTACCTCTACAGAGACACTTTGAAATTACCAAGATCACATACTATATGTTGTTAATTAATACCAAAAACTAAAACTATACTCTCCACCTGTATGATCGGACTACCAACATGAACAGCAAGTAGACATTTAATTCTTTCAATATCCTGAAATGGCTGTAATGCCTTACTAAATGATTAGGTAATTCTTAGGACATCTGAATGTGAACTAGACAATCTGAATTCCAGCCCTCGTAGTTAAAAAATCTCTGCAGAAGCTACAGCTCTATTTCTGTCTTTCACTCCAAGGTTTGTACAAAATATATTTTGACAGAGAACTGTAATCAAACTGAATCTAGGGCAAAGTATGAAAATCAGTTCTGGCGCAAAAACCTAATAGTACATTGAACAGTTGATACTTAATTCTTCTTAAAAAAATAAAAAACCACATCAACCAATGCAACAAAGAAACCAGAAACAACATACTTACCTATGACTCCACCTGCGACAGTAGCCATTCAAATATTTCTTGACAAAGTGACATGATGCGTCCATATATGACAGGCCATAAACAAAATCTGGGCACTTTATAAAATCTACTTATGAACTTTCCCTGGGCAAACCAGTTTATCAGTTACCTAATTAAAGATAACTGGGGTGCCTTTTTAACTTTCCAAAGTCTATAATCATATGACAACCAGTGAAGTTAAAAAAGCATACAGTTTAATTCACAGACCTGTATCCCTGAAGCGAGTAATACACTATAGTAATACACTACATGTTTACAAAAAAAAAAAAAAAAAAAAAAAAAAGCAAAAAGCACAGACTTGAGAGCAGAGAAACCTAGACCGCAAAGCTCAGGCAAGATACTTAAACTCCTAAAGGGAGTATCAGTTTCTTTCTCCACCTGTATGATCGGACTACTATCTCACATGGTTGCTCTGAAGATTAAATTTAATGCAGTATCTTCATCACAGTACCAGTTATACAAAAGGCACTCAATAAATGGTACTTCTATTACAAATTACATGAAAGTATTTAAGTCAAACAAGGTTACTTCTTGGGGGGGGTAGAACTTTAATTTTTAATGCCTAGAAATACATAATTTGGCTGTTTGGGCCAATAAATGATCCAATGATACCTAAAATACACTTTCAGTTTTCCAGAATACCTACTCCACATCATAGTCATCAAACACAAAGTCTTTTTCTGCCTTCAGGTTTTTGATAACCTGTTAGAACACTGCTTTCACGTATATAGACCCCCTATGAAGCCTTTCAAGTTAGCACCATTTGGCTTCACTCTCAGGTTGCAGGGGTAGCCACTTTGCATAGCTAGTTATAAATATATATATATAGATAGATATATATATATATCTATCTATATATATATATTTCTGTAAGTTTACCCATTCATTTCACAAATATTTATTGAAGGTCTGCTATATACCAGGCTCTGATATAGGGACTGGGGATGTAGCAATTTAAAAAAAAAAAAAAAAAAAAGGCTAAAATTCCCTTTTTCATGGAGTTTATAGTCAAGAAAGGGAGAGGAGGAAAGGACAGAATATAAATACAGACAATCTGTTGGGTTGTAATATAGGCTATCAAGAAAAATCAAGCAGTGAGAGAAAGAAGACAGGATGAAAGGAGAATATGAATTTTTTTATTGTTCTTAAAGGATCATCTCTCTAAAACTGTTTGCTTTTTTTACAATGTTCAATTTATTTCAACTAAAAAAAAAAAAAAGGCAGTTCATCCATTTCTCCTACCTCTTGCCTCTGACAACTACCCAAATGTTCTCAATATCTATGATCTGGGTTTCTTGTTTTTTTTTTTTTTAGATTCGACATATAAGAAAAATTATATGATATTTGTCTTTTCCTGACTTACTTCATTAGCTTAATACCCTCAAGGTCCAGCCATGTTGTCACTATGACAAGATTTCATTCTTCTTTATGGCTGAATATACCACAATTTTCTTTATCCATTCATCCATGGATGGACACTTAGGTTGCTTCTGTGTCCTATTATAAATCATGTTGCAACGAACCTGGGACTGCATATGTTCTCAAGTCAGCGTTTTTGTTTCCTTCAGATAAGTAACAAAAAATGGGATTTACTGGATTACATGGCATTTCTATTTTTAATTTTCTGAGGAAATGCCACTGTTTTTCTTTTCTTTTTAATTTAAATTCAATTAATCAACATATATTATTGGTTCCAGAGGAAGACGTCAGTGATTCATCAGTCCTATATAATATCCAGTGCTCATTACAGCATGTGCCTTCCTTAAGGTCCATCACCCAGTTACCCCGTTCCGCCACCCCCTCCCCGTCAGCAACCCGCAGTTTGGGAGATTCCATACTGTTTTTCACAGTGGCTGTACCAATCTGCATTCCCACCAACTACATGAGGTTTTCCTCTTCTCCACATCCTTGCCAAGGCTTGTTATCTCTAGTCTTTCTGATAACAGCTACTCTAATAGGTATAAGGTGATAGATATATACTCATTGTGGTTTCAATTTGTACTTCCCTGATGATTCATGATGCAAAGCACCTTTTTCGGTACCTGTTGATCATGTGTGTCTTCTTGGGAAGAAGGCCTATTCAGGTCCTCTGCCCGTTTTTCAGTTGGAATGTTTGTTTTTGTGCTAGTGAGCTGTAGGAGTTACGTATTTCCCATATTATCCCCTCATCAGATATATGATTTTCAAGTATTTTCTCCCATTCAGTAGGTTGCCTTTTCATTTTATTGATGGTTTCCTTTGCAGTGCAGAAATGTTTTTGTTTCATGTAGTCCCATTTGTTTATTTTCTGCTTCTTTTGCTTTTGAGGTCAATTCAAAAAATCAGCACCAAGACCAATGTCAAGGAGCTGCCTGCCTGTTTTGTTCTAGGAGTTTTATGATTTTAAGTCTTATGTTCAAGTCTTTAATCTCTTTTGACTTAATTTTGTGTAGAGTGTCAGATAGTAGTCCAACTTCATTCTTTTGCATGTGGCTGTCCAATTTTCCCAACATCATTTACTAAAGACTCTCCTTTCCCCGCTGCATATTCTTAGCTCCCTTGTCATAAATTAACTGTCCATCTAAGTGTGGGTTTATTTCTGGGCTCTCTCTTCTGCTCCACTGACCTACAGGTCTGTTTTAAGGCTAATCCCACACTGGTTTAATTATAGTACCTTTCAAACAGTAAGTTAATTATACTTCCAATTTTTTAAAACTTTGTTTGAAAAATTACTATAGCTTTGTAATACAGTTTGAAATCAGGCAATGTGATGCCTCCAGCTTGATTCTTCTTTCTTAAGATTGCGCTGGCTATTCTTGAGTCTTTTATGGCTGTATATAAATTTTAAGATTGTTTTTTCTATTGCTATGAAAAATATGGCCACTTCCGTTTTTAAAAAACATATGGTACACAGCAAAATAAAATCTAAAACTCTTCTGAAATCACATAATTACCAAAGAACACAGAGTCAAAAATAGCCATCTCTTAGCATGTAACAATTCACCAGAGGGCCGGCAGTATAAGAACAACCGCTGATTCTCAAGGGTCATCGTTTTAATCAATAAAATAAATTCTTACCTGGGAGTTGAAATGGACTTCCTGGTCCAGAACTTGCTGGGGAATTGGGATATGTACTGCTAGCAGGGGAAGGGGGATAAGGGCTATTTGGAGATAAGGGGAAAGGAGTGTTGTTGGGCTGGTGGAAAGAATCTGGAAACGTTGCATTTTGTGGCATGTGCGGCTCGTTGTGGCTCAGGTTTCTAAACTGAACCAAAAGGCTGTGTTGTGGATTGAATTCATTGTGACGAGGCACTAATACTGGAGGTAAGACTGAAAGACAAAAATCAAAAGTCATCTGTCAGCAAAGACTAAAGCAAATATCCCAAACATATTAAAGGATAGAAAGAAAGGATTCGGTAGAATTGTAAACCTATTAAAACAATTTACTTTCAGGAATGGCTGCTTTGTAGAACCTTGAATGTATATTTACATAATAACTAAACCAAAAGCACTCTAAGGATTTAGGCCTGCATAAAGAGCTCTGGAAAACTGAAAATCCAGGAAAGATACCACTCCTGTTATAGGAGAGAAGGCATATTTTAAAACAATCCTAACACAAAGAATTTAATGTAATGAGAGTTCAACAGAGTTGAGGACTTCCATCTAGCAATAATCAAAACGTTTTGGAAAAGATTACATCTGATCGGACATTGAAGAACAGGGGTGGAGGACAGCAGAGAAGGAGATGGGGAGACTCCAGAAGGGGGATGAGAAAGCATATTAACAGTTGGCCTAAGCATTGAACTAGGAGTTGAGATTAGAGTGTGATGCTGAGGTCAGCTATTATGATGCCCCAAAAGCCTCAGTGTTTCCAATTTTGAACATCTCAACTTTCTTAGTTGGAGAGATTTCACATTTTATGTTCTTCAGTCAAGTCTTCCCTAGTGAAAATAGTAACATTTCCTAAGTAGAAGTCTTCCATTCAAAATCACTTTTCTACACATGATCATAATGAAAACATATCTAACAAAGCCTAAATACTTTAAGAGACCTATTTTTTAAAAGCTTAACTTTATTCAAACACTCACTATCTCTGAAAACCCAAATGACCAATCACAAAGAAATGTCTGACTACCCACCCCCGTAGGAAATGTAAACAAACATGATTTCTTTAAACTCTATGGTATGAGTTCATCTCTTATACAACTTTCCCATATCTGTCAAAGTAATTTTACTTCCAAAAATCTCACTTTGACTCTGACGTCATTCAGCAGCAACAAAATTAATCTATCTTTAAGTTAACTAGATCATACTTCCCTGCCTGAAGTAGGGATGTACCTGAGGAATGAGAGGCTCTGTAACTCAGTATTCATACTGTTTTTCATCTCTTTTCTTTGTACTGAATCAGTTGTAATTATGTGGTTAATATCTGATTACGATTGTTTCGTTCTACTGTGTATTACCAACTGCTGTTCCCTTTACAGAATGATGGGACAGCTGCCACTGGAGAGTAGGGCATTAGACAATAAGATTTTCTATGTTTAGCTGGCCAGCAAGCTGAAAGACTAAGTGAAATAACTAATGAGGAATTCAACCCAGTAAGAATTCTTCTACTTTTTTTTTTTTTAAAGACAGAGCTAAAATCATGGACTTCTCTCTTGTATATTATCTGTACACATCGCTTTTTAAAGACTATTTTCCTCCAAAATACATAGTTTAAAAAGGCAGATGCTACAAGAGATAACAAACACAGCAATTTCTAAGTCTCCTCTCATACAGCTTCCAGAGACAACAAATTTAAACTCTTAGCTACCTCTTCTAACATTTATTTTGTGTACTGCTAAACAATATGCTTATATTGCTATTATTAATTTGCCAAAACACCATCTGCCAGTTTGCTATTGTGGCAAATGAAGTAGCTTTCTTACATTATTCTACCCCACTCTCATTCCCCTCAATATTAAGTTACATTAAAAATGCTGGCTAAATCAACACTTGGTGTTTATTATCTGTACAAATATTATTCATTCCTGAGCCAAGTATGTACTATGATTATATTTGTTCTTGAACAGTGCTTTAAGTAAAGCTGATTATTGACTTGTTACTTCATTTGCTTAATCTTAATTACACACCACTAATATTTCCAGAAGTCTAGCAGATATGTTAAATTCCTATCAATACTATTTTCCAGATGCCACAAATATGTAATCTATTAACTCATTTTTCCCCTGGACTCTTCATCCTTCTACAATCTAGACTGCTAAATCCTTAAGTCTGGAGATCTCAAGTCCTTAGACTTCCATTCTCTTTTGTTGGAACCCATTTCCTGGACCTCATGCTCTATTAGTTTCCTAAGAAAGGTAAAACGAAGGGGGCACCTGGGTAGCTCAGATCGTTAAGCATCTGCCTTTGGCTCTGGTCATGATCCCGAGGTCCTGGGATGCACCCCCATCGGCTCTCTGCGCAGGGGAGAGTCTGCTTCTCCCTCTCCATCTGCCTCTCTCCCTGCTCATTCTCTCTCTCTCTCTCTCAAATAATTAAGAATTGTTTAAAAAGGTAAAAAGAAGATAAATTTTTTGTCCTTGCAATTTTTTGTCCTCCTATGAAAATGTCTTGTCTTTTGTTTGTCTGCAGATTCCAGAATAAACAACTTTTCTCTCTGAATTTTAGGGGCACTGCTTCACTATCTTCTGGAATCCAGAACTGCTCTAAGAAACCCAACATTCTCACTTCCAGTCCTTTCTATATGTCCCATCTTTTCTCTCTGGGAGTTTTCAGAATCTTCTTTTTTAACCATGATATATTAAAATTTCATACATGGGTCTTTAACCCTAACAGCACTATCACTGCCATTCTTTTAGCTAGTCTCCATACCCAGTGTTATTTCCATACCAGGCTTTTATTGTCTCCATGTGAAATCCAGCATGGAAGATAGACTCGAAGATGGCCACCATAATTCCTGTCTCTCGGCAGGTACTCACCCTTGCAAAACCCTCTCCCTTTCAAGGTATTATCTCTGAATTGCTGCTCACCAACAGAACATGGCAAAGGTGATAGGATGTTATGTGTGACACAATATAATTCCCTTCTATCAAGAAAACCCTCTCTCTTCTTACTGTTTTTGAAGAAGTAAGCTGCCATGAATGCGAGCTACCCAAGAAAAAGGTGGCAAACAAATGAAGGCAGCCTCTAGTCAACAACCAGCAAGAAGAGTCCAACAGCCCACAAGGAACTGAACCCCATCAATAATCACGTGAGCTGGGAAGCAGATCTTTCCCTAGCTGAGCCGTACATTGAGACCCAATACCTTAAACAGAGCCTAGCAAAGGACTTAAGGTAAACCATGTCTGGACTCCTGTCCTACAGAAACCGTGAGGTAATAAATGTGTATTAAGCCACTTAATCTGTTATGCACCAAAAGATAATTAATGCACCCAACCAGTATCTCAGCTTATATAATTCATTCATTAAAAAATATAGTTATTGTGTACCACCTATTAAGTGCCAGGTACTACGACCATTCTAGGCACTGGTGATGCAGTACACAATGAAACAGAGAAAATTCCTGCTTATTATCAGTCAGTAAATAAAATAAATATCTAACACAGCATCAAGTAGTGATGGTGGTACATGAGTAAGGACTGAACGGAGGGAGAAAATGTATCATGAAAAGATCATGTTCTCTGAGAGTTCAGTAGGAGAAATAGAGAAGGGAAAAAAAGTCTAGATGCAGGAATAGGCCAAGTCCATGAAACAGAGGAAGTTTGAAGAGAGGTTACATAGGGTCTTGTAGAAATCTGTTCTAAGTGTGATAAAAGTCTTAAGTGTTTTAAGCATGCACAGACGTGATTTGGTATTTTTTTTTTGAAAAACTGACTTTAGATATACATAGAGGGAATCTCAAGCAGACTCCCCACTGAGCATGGAGCCCAACACAGGGCTCAGTTTCACCACTCTGAGATCATGACCTGAGCCGAAAACAAAAGTTGGACACAACTGACTGAGCCACCCAGGTGCCCCATGATTTGCTATTTTTTAAAGATCACTTTGGCTGCTGTGCAAAAAAACAGAACAGGTTGGGGGAAAGAATAGAGGCAGAGACCAATTAGGACACTGCTTAAGGTAGATGATGATGGTCTGTCCTAGAGTAGTGGTGTTGAGAGAGGTGTAAAAGGGTACATTATTAAGATATATTCTGAAGATACAGCAAATATCATTTGTTCATAACTTAAATGAAGACTTCAAAGAAGAGGAAAAAAAATGACTTCTAGGTAGCAATTACATGAATGCTGGTACCATTTACTTCAACTGGGAAAACTAGAGGTAAAAAGGACTCGGTGGGGGAAAAAATCAAAAGTCCTATTTAGACATATTAAATCTGACATGTTTAGAGACATTCAAGTGGAGATGTCAAATGGGCAACTGAATACAGAAGCCTAAAACTCAAAGGAGAAGTTCATTCTGGAGTTCAAAACATGAGAATGAGCTTATGGTTTTATGACACGTGACCACATGAGAGCCCACAGAGGAAAAATATGGACGTAGAAAAGGTCTAGGGACTGAGTCATGTGAAAATAGGAAAATAAGCCAATAACGCAACTAAGCAAAAAGAGCCAGTGAAGTAGAACTCAAAGAGTGTCATGTTTCAGAAGCCAATAAAGAGAAAGTTGTGAGTGGGAGGGAAGGAAAGCAAGTGCCTCTGTTGAGGCACTTCTCAAATGAAGCTGAAAAGGCAAGTGAGATGAGGTCTGAGAAAGACCCCTCCAACCAGAAGGCAGTCACCAATGATCTTGACAAGTCAAATGGTAAGGAAGACAGACTAAGCAGAGGGAGTGTCCAGAAAGAATGGGAAGAAAGTAACATAGAGATTAAAAAAAAAAAAAAAAAAAAGGAGACTCCTACAAAAGGACTCAAAGAAACAGTACAGGAGACTAGGGGTGAGGGGATGTGAATGAAGTTGGGACCAAAATTCTTTTTTAACTTCTGTCTAGGATGGGCAGTAGCATGACATGCCTATGTGCTGACAGAAATAGTGTAACAGAGAGGGGAAATGTAATCCTGGGGAGAGGGGTGATAACTGTATGAACAAAGTTCTTGAGTGACAAAGAGGAATGGGATGTAGTACACATATGGACTTGGGTTTTAGAGAAAACAGAGACATGTTGGCGTGCCTGGGTGGCTCAGTGGGTTAAGCCTCTGCCTTCAGCTTAGGTCATGATCTCAGGGTCCTGGGATCGAGCCCCACATTAGGCTCTCTGCTTAGCGGGGAGCCTGCTTCCCCCTTTCTCTCTCTGCCTGCCTGTCTCCCTACTTGTGATCTCTGTCTGTCAAATAAATAAATAAAATCTTAAAAAAAAAGAGAGACATGTCATCCACAGGAAAGGCAGGGCATGCAAATCACTGACTCCAACTGATTCATGTACATATGACCGACTGCTTACAGTGAACATGAATTAGAATTAGCTACTTGGGAGCTATTTTATCTATACACAAAAAGCTAAATTCAAAATCCACCATTTCTTCCAAGAGGAAAATCTTTAGGAAGGAAACACAAGGCTAATATGGCCTTTTAATTACTAAATCCACTGAACTATAAATCGGAAAGAGACAAGTTTTTGTAAATGTTCTCAAGGTAAAACCTACCTGGACTCTCCACTCTCTTATAGTGGTATGGGTTGATACAAACTTCTTTCTGCTTAGATCCAAAAGGAAACTCACAAATATCCAATGGCTTTAGCTCATGATGACTCTGCAAATCAGGCCAACGCCAAACACGACAATATATAACATGGGGTAAGCCTTTTCTGTGGGAAACCTGCAGGCGTCCATCTAAAGATCTGGGAATAGTGACACATTTGCTTGGCTGTCCTGGACTGCTCAAGGCTTTCTCCAGTTCTTCCATGGCACCCTTTTTCTTTTTTAGCTTTTTCACCAAAGCATCAACTGCCTTTTCTGCCCATTTCTCCTCTTCATCACCTTGCTTCCAGCCCAACAATCGCTTTACTGCTGGACTAGTAAAGGAAAACAAGCTGGCCATTGACGTCATTTGATATAAATCTTCGGAGACCTTCCTGCAACTCAAAGTCAGTGGCTACTCAAAGAACAGCTCACAGATGAAAAATCACATAAAGGTTCTAAGCAGAAGTTCCAATTAAAAAGGGAGGAATGACATTTATCTTCATAAGTGCCATAAGATTCTTTCATTGGTTCAAGTCCTGAAAGAGAAAGAGGGAAAAGGATAAGACCCCTAACTTAAATGCATGTAATTAACATACACCTAAATCAATATAATTAGAAAGTATGTTATTTTTAAATATGAGCAGAAAAGCATTATTACAAAAAACCCAAGTCTAGAAAGAGAAATTTTCCCTTAAGTCCTGTGACCACTCATTTCCTTTCTTCACAACATGAAAAAATAACTCACTGGCAATGCCAAATAATAACCAAAAGCAAAACAGAATGCTCTACCTTCTCTCCTATATATTTTCCAAACAAGTAAGCTCTAGACTTTCATTTCCTTTCCTCAGGCCAATAAGCCCCCATATACCCTTCTAAGGTCTGATTCTGAAGTACTTCCCTTCACTGAAACCCATGTCATGCCATGTCAACTTTGAACACATTATGTGCTAATGTCTACAAGTCTTCAGAGAAATCTCTTTCCTAAGGTCATTATTGTTCGTAAAGTGTTTCATAGACTTATATATGGTTTGGGCAAAAGCTATAGTCCTATTTAAGTCACATTATTAGATGGAAATTTTATCAAATTTTATATTAGATTTTTTAATAAGAGATAACAAATCCTCAAATAAATCGTAACACACATAACTGCCAGAAAAATGCGAAGTTATCTATTATTAAAACTAAAAACGCTGAATAGATGTAAAGAGAATAAATTCAAAGTTTAACCCAGAAGAGGACAGTTTATAATTATGTGATTCCTAGTGCCTTCTGTGATATTTTAGGCATGCTAAGTTAAAGAACCTGCTCTAGGCAGACTGCCCCACTGTACCTTTACGAAGCTCTTGGAGATGATGACAAGAGGAAGTGATGTGCAGCGGCACTGCACCGATAAGAATGGGTACAATTCCCTGTGGTCACTACACAGCCAACTACAGACAATGAGTAGCTAGTGAAACAGCAGGAGTAATGTTTGGAAAAAGGATGTCAGTAACAAATTGGAAGCCAAGAGGCTCCTTTTCTTGCGCCTAAACTTGGAAATAATGCTGCAGCTCTGTCTTTGACAATATCTACCAAACTCCGGCATCAAGACCATTCTGGATTGGGACCCATCTTCCCAGAAAAGAATACATGTGTTCAGTAAAACCCAGGCAAACATAAATTAAAATAAAACTGAGTTGAATTCAACAAATAATATATAATTGCTTGCTATGTGCCATACACTGTGAACTGCCATGATGGTGCTTAAAAAAGAAAGAAAAAGATACACCAAATTATGTTTCATCTTAAGAGCCAACTCATTCATTCATTCAGCATACACTTACTGAGATGTAGTAAGTGCCAAGATGATCAACCAGCACTGGCTATCCAGACTGCCATGAACCATGATTAGAACCTAGAACAATGGATGCAAAGGTGCACAAAGGTAAAGTAAATACTCCTCCTGTGTGGATGGACTTTCCAACCCTACATGGGGTAATTTTTGCCGGGTAGGCAAAACTGACCATATTAAACTAAAGAAATATAAGAAAGACAAAAAGTGTCAGTAACAGGTCACAGACTGTGAAGTGTTATGTGCTAAAAGAGCTGAGCTCAGCTGTAGCTACATCAAGAATACAGGATAAAAGCCAACTGGACCAGAGAGTAAAGGTAATAGAGTAAGCCAAAGTATCATTGGCTTGTCTAAAACAATAGAAACTTCAAAGGCATAGGGACACAAACAACAACAAAAAAATCTGTGGGCAAACATGACTAGAGCATTTTCCTAAAGTAGACAAAAGATAGGTCTGGTTAAATGAGATCTTACCCAGTAACCCCGGAACATAATGGAGACCAGACGGGGTAGTACATGTGTGTGGGGAGAGAATATATTAATAATGTAGAGATTAAATTGATGAAAGGGACAAGAGGAGAAAAACTTGAAGACCAGATAACATACTGTAGTTAACCACTAGAAGGTGCTTAATAAATTTTAACTACTAATCTTACTATCATCGTCATCATCATCATCAAATACTAACCATATTATGTATTAACTGAAAAAAAAAAAAGGAAAAGTTACTTCTGCGTGTACACATAGAACAAGGACTAGAAGGCTACATACTAAATTCATCATTGCAGTTACCTTTGGGGAGAGGCATGGAATGGGGGAAGGGCAAGAGAGAGAAAGGGGTCCTTGTGATTCGTTTTATGTATTTCTGTATCGTTTAAAGCTTTACACAAAGAGAATATCTATTAACACATTACTTGCATAATACTAAAATAAAAATAGTAAATGATCTAAAACAAATTGTTGTGAAGAAAACAGAGTTACAAGTGCCAGTACAATGAGGAGGTAAAACTAATGCACGCTTTATTAGAGGTCAGACAGGTGGTTTCCCTTTGAAAGGAAGGGTATTAACTAGAAGAAAATCTGAGTTTTGGCCATCCTGGTGAAGCTCTGGTTCTCCTATGGGTGATTATATGGGAGAGCTCAGTTTGTGAGAATCCAGCTAGTGGGATACTTAAGATGTATATCACTTCTGTATGATTTTTAAAAATTTTCTGGACATACAAAAAAGTATAGAGTGTCAGTTTCTTTCTCATTTTTCTCCCCATCATCAATCAATTTCACTTCTCACAGGTAATCCTTTTGTATCTGTCTTTCATGCCCTTACAGAGAAATTTAACACAAACAAATATAAATATATACAGAAAATCTTTTTTTACATAGTGGTAGTCTAAAAAGTAACAGGTACAGAGAAACATATGAACAATGTATGTTCAAGATCTTCCCATTCCAATACAGAAAGTGCTTTCACATTCTTTTCTACTACACAGAATTCTAGTATAAAAGTAATCTTATAAGTATGTCAAACTATGTCATTCCTCTGCTCAAAGATTATTCAGTGGATTGCCATTACACTTGGTATCCAAACTCCTTAACATCACTTTATAGGGCCTACATGATCTGGCCTTTAGCCTTTCCTCCAAAGTCATTTTGTACATTCTCCTACCTAACTTTGCACTTAACCGTTCCTTTCCATTTCTCAAGTGCTACAAAGTTATTTCTACCTTAAGGCCTTTGCTCTTGATGTTTCCTTCCCTGGAATTCTCCCTGATCTTATTTAACATGCTTACTCTTTCAATTAATTCAGCTGTTCAAATGTCACTTCTTGAAAAAGGGCTTCCCTGGCCACTTTTTCTAAAATAGCATATATCACACTCCTACATCATCCTCTACTTCCTGACCGTGCTCACTTTTCATGGTATTTCCTAACCTAATCAAGATATTAATTTTATTTACTTAGTATATGTCATCCTTACTGAAATGTTAGTAGGCAGGTAGCTTCATCTTCCTTATCCATCATCAAATTCCCCTAGACTGAGAATAGTGCCTATTTATTAAATGAATGAGCAAGCAAGTAGTGAGTGAGTGAGCTAAAGAAAAGCAACTTGGAAAAATATACATTTCTTTACCAGAGCAACCGTATGAAGGTTAAAACAGAACACGGTATTTATGGATATGGACAGATATGGTAAGAGAAAAAAAGCATGGATAAAAATGATACACACCAGTCTCAGGACAATGAGTACAGGTTGCCACTGCTAAAAGGAAAAAAGGACAAAGAATGGAAAAGCTTCAGCTGTTTTAAAACCAGATTAAAAAAGTTTGGCAAGTCATGAGATGTTACATTCTCTCTTCTTCTCTATGTTAAAATATTTCATAACTCAAAATATTCACAATTTTTAAATTTTTATAAAGTAGTGTGATAAAAAACAGAAAATTATCAGATTCTGTCCCTGACAAGATATAAGACCATGACCGGGTATCACTCTTTGTAATTCTACTAATTCTTCTGTAAAATGGGATGATGGTTCCTAAGTGACTGAAATGTTCAAGTAATAAAATATGTAGGGTCGCCTGCTTTCACAGCTCAGGTCATGATCTCAGGGTCATGGGATGGGGTCATGGGATGGAGACCCATGTCGGGCTCCACGCTGAGCATGGAGCTTACTTAAGATTCTCTCTCCCTCTGCCCCACCAACATTGCACACATGCACATCCTCTGTCTCTAAAATAAATAAAATCTTTTAAAAAATAATAAAATATGTGTGTACATATGTATAAACACAAACACAACAGATGCACTAAAAAGTGCCCTTCAAACATGAATTATGATCATGAGTTTTCAAAGGAAGAATCAAGACTCAAAAAAATGGCTGGATCTGGGGCACCTGGGTGGGTTAAGCATCCAACTCTTCTTTTTGGCTCAAGTCTTCATCTCAGGATTATGAAATCAAGCCCCGTGTTGGGCTCTGTGTTGGGCTCCATGCTGGGCATGGAGCCGGTTTAACATTCTCTCTTTCTCTCCCACTCCCTGACCCTCCCCACTCCCTCTCTTTAAAAAAAAAAAAAAAAAAAGGCTGGATCTAGTACCAACCTAATATACCCACCACTTTATACACTTTATACACCAGCCCAAATTCCTATACTTTTGCCCATCTGGGTTTTCCAAGAGAAATCTCAGTCATCTTTAATAATGAGCCCAGGGCCACCCCCTTTGGTGAAAAATTCCTTTACCACCCAATTCTAAAGAGGCTATTGAATATCATAAAAATTAATAGGACAGTGATAAGAACAGATCTTAACTTTCCAGATGGAATACAAAATCCTTCCAGGAGGAAGTCTTCAGCACCTGGCACTATTCCATGCATCATACCACATATTAAAGGAATATTTAATGAACAGTCATTGATTTTTCTATCAACTGTACCTTGAAATTAACGAAAACTTCAAATTTTAACCCAGGTGACTAAGATAATGATAACTCCATTAGCAGAATTAAGGACACTCAGAAAGTAGTCAGTAGAGAAAATGGTTAACTCTACTGGAAAAGGGTCATGAGTAGACATACAGGTTTGGCAAGGAAAAGATGAGAAAGAGACTTGAGATTTTTCATTTACAAACATCTGAAACAGTAATAAAAAACAGGTTTTCAATAGAAAGAAAAGGGCGGCATGTTAACACCTGCATATTAGAGAACACGGACTGGTA